GCTGAACAAACCCCACACAGAACAAACCTGAGGAATCCACACCAAGACACATGGTGAAATTTCTGAAAACTAAAAACACAAAACTATCTTGAAGGTAATGAGAGGGAAATGATGTTCTCTGTGAGAACAGAGGAGTTCAAGTGGAAATGAGCACCATCAGCATCAACTCTCATGGCCAGAAGTAACCAACATTTTAAAAACAAATTAACAATTAAATTAATTAATCATTAAAATTTGGGGAAGAACTGTCATCGTAAAATCCCAGCTTCAGTGGAAACATCGTTCGGGAATGAAAGGAGTCCCAGACATTGTCAGATGTATGAGATAAAAACAGTCCAAGAGAATTTCTACAGCTGACCAATCCTTTGCTGTTGATTCCCTGCATCAAAAATAAACAGACAAATAAATAAAAGTAAAATAAATATATCCAAATGCAACTACATGTTGACTACAAGAAACTCAGTCCAAATATAATGATGGTATATGTAGAAGCACCCCAAGGAAGCTATAAACAAAATAAGATTCAAGCCCCCTACATTATATCTAATAAGTAGGTTGAGCAAGGTTACAGATTACAAGTCCAGGAAACAAAAGTCAATTTTATCACCAAAAACTAGAAATTAACCTAGGCACACTGAGAGAAGCAACACATGACATTTACAATTACTTAAAATAAATATAAGTATAAATTTAGTGGGGCAGAGGTGGCTCACACCTTTAATCCCAACACTCGGGATCTCTGAGTTCGAGGCCATCCTGCTCTACAGAGTGAGTTCCAGGACAGCCAGGGCTACACAGAGAAACCCTGTCTCAAAAAAAAAAAAGTATAAATCTAAAATATTTGTGTAAGAGTTATATGTTGTTAAAAGTCCTACCTTGTGTTGAAAGAAAGAAGTAGATAGAGAGCCGTACCAATGTTCATGGTTTGTAAAACTTAACCTTGAAAACATCAAGGCTAGCAAATAGATATCCAGGTCCAATGTATTTCCTGTCAAAATCTCAACAAGATTTTTAAATAAGTATAGACAACACTGTTTAAAAATTATATTCATAGGTGAAGGAACTAGAATAGCTGAACCAATCTTGTGAAATCTGAAGTGAGTATCAGCATATAGTATTTATAGGTTTATTAAAGAACTTCAATAATCAAGACCATGGTATTGCCAATGGTATTGCTACAGAAGCTGACACAAACCAGCGGGGTAGAATGGGGAGCCAGAAACAGACTCATACAGAAAGACCAACCGAATTTTGAGATAAGTGGAAAAACAATTCATAGGAAGAAAAACTGTCCCCTATCTAAAGGTGCGGGAGCAGCTGATATGTGGACCAAAAACAAAACAAAAACCTCTGAACTAAATCTCACATCCTAACCAAAATTAACTGTAAACGGGTTAAACATATAATATAAAAAATATAACTCTGAATATGAATGAATTTCCTCAAGTGCAGGACTAGGCAAAGACTTCTCTTAACACGAAACACATGATCCATTAAAGCAAACACTAACAATTTGTTTGTGACCCAAATTAAAGCTTTTGGTTTGCAAATGACCCTCTGAAGAGGTTGAAGAGACAACTACAAACCAATCACACCCCTGACACAGGACTGGCATCTATGATACATCCAGAACACCCAGAACTCAACTGTTAAACAACACACAATAAGACAGTGGTCAGAGGGCACCATGAGGCATTTTACTAGGAGATAGAGAAGACAGGCACATGGAAAGGCATTCGGCAGCATAAGCTATCACGTAAATGCAGATAAAAACACAAGGTGCACAACAGTCAGGCTTTAAAAAAATCAGGGAGGGGAGGGTGGAGAGATGGTTCAACAGTCATCCTAGCATCCGCATGGCAGTTCACAACCGTCTATAACTCCAGTTCCAGGAGGCCTAATGCCCTTTCCTGACCTGCTTAGGCTCCTGCATATATGTGATACACATTACATGCACCCAGGCACACAAACATACATATGCATAAAATTTTAAAAAGTACTTTAATCATTCTTTTTTTGGCAACAACAGTGGGAATGTAAACAGATACACCCACTTTGGAAAACATTTTATCAGCTGTTTAGAAAACTAAGCAAGCTGTTTCCTTTTCCTTTCTTGTTTATTTGGGACAAGATCTAGCTATGCAGACCAGGCTGATCTTGAACCACAAGTAATCATGTGTTAACAGTCCTGCACACTGGGACGGAGAGCATGCTTCACTGTGCCTAGCCAGTGTTCAACAGCAGCTTTATTCAGAACTAGCTGCAAACTGGAAACCACACAGATGAAATGTCCTTCACCAGGTGAACTGTAGGGTACTGTGGCGCATCTAATCATGAAACATGAAGCTGGATAATCCAGTTTGTGCTAAACGACAAAAGTACTAAAGGTTGCATATCTACCTCAAGATTCCACTTACAAAACAACCTGACATGACAAAGATTTTAGAAATAGAGAACAAAGCCAAGACTGCCAGAGGTTGTGGGGAAAGAGGAAAGGGAAGGGAAGGAAATGTGGCCGTGAGGGGTCCCAGTGGATGGAAATACCGTTTCTTGATTGTATAAATCCAATGTTGTGCGGGCACGGCGGCACACATCTTTGATCCCAGCACTTGGGAGGCAGAGGCAGGAAGACATCTATGAGCTCCGAGCCATCCAGGCTAGAGAGTGGGAACACTGTCTCAAAAAAAATAAGTAAAATAGGAAATAAAAAGTAAATCCAATATCACTGTGATATTGCTCTGTAGTTTTGTAAAAAGAAGTTACCATTAGAAGCACCTAGCTTAGTTTCTCCCTTGCTCTCCCCAGGTCCCACTGGGCTGGCTAAGGAAGACTCCGTTTGTCCTATGCACCCATTCTAAGTTTCTAAGAGATAAGTTCCCAGAAACTCTGACTCCTTGCCCCCTCCCCCAAATTATAAAAGTGCCGTAAGATAATTAACTGCTTGCTCTGGCTTTTGTAAACACACATCACTATGCACCAAGAAGTGAGACAGCGCCTCAGCCACCCTCCTTTCAGTAAAGCCGCAGTTGAAGTGAACAGTGGTGTGTGCTTAGCAGGCCCAGGCCAGCTTTGAGACCAGGCTCCCAGCCCCTCCTCCGAGCCTGCTGCCCCCCATCCTGGCCTGCCAGAAAATACAAAAACAGCCCCAAGAAGTCCTTTAGCTGCTCCTTCTGTGTCCAAGCCCTGGAGACCTGCCTAAGGCAGGAAGACTAGGCCCCTCAGCATGGCCTGCAACCAGGCTGTCTCTCAGATGGCCTCCTTTTATTTTTCAAGTTAAATTAGATTGTAGGCTCTGTGGCAGCCTCACTTCCATGGACACCACCACTGTGCCACCGAGAGAGTGGGACTATTTAGTACTGCTGTTCTGCAAAGTGGTTGGCTGAGAAGAAAGCTCTGGAAGCCCTGTGGAGGTGGGTATGGGTCAGGGTCATCCCTCCTGCTCCTCTGCACTTGTCATCCGAGGTGTCAGGCTTAGGACACAGTGGACAGGCTCTAAATTTAGGGCTGGATTCCAGACTCCACAGCCACACAGCCAGCTGCGCCCCAGGACCCGACGCTGGAGGCACCTAGGGGAAGTGGTTTCATGTAGTATTTGTGTGTGTGCAATGCATCTGTTTCCTTCTCCAGGGTTCTAAGCACTTGTGTGGAAATGTCCTATGTCTTTACCTGTCTTGGTGTGTGTGGTGTGTTTTTCATCTCTGTTGTGAACAGCAACTTTCGGAAAGAAGCTGCATCTGGCTGTGAAGGAAAACTAAAAAGGAATCTCTGTCTGCAGAGACTGGCTGAAGAGAATTTCAGGACTGTGGAGAGGTTAAAATGCTGCAGGTCCAGAGGCGAATTAACTTATCTTGAGCTAAAGTCTGGCCCTCCGGAATAGCCATTCCTCACTTGCCCCTCTTTGTCGAACTAACATCACGTGACAATAGATAAAAACCTTTTAGGATCTATTGACTTCACAGGACAACTGGCTTCTGCCAATCCGAAAGCTAAGAATGCCATCAGATAGCATCTTGGACCTGTAGAAAAGCCTCACCCTTCTCACTGTACCTGCCTCTCTGGTGTATCCTCCAATGTATTTTAAACTTGCCTTGATTTATGACTTTCTCTGTTCTGTAAAAACTATAAAAACTTCCTGAAACTGCTTCCATATTGGAACATGAAATTTGGGGCAACCTAAGTCTGTGTTCCCAGGCCATGGTCACTCAAAATGGCTCCAGAATAATCTATTTCCTTGAAAATGGGAGCTGTGGTTTTTGTGTCTACACTGTGCATGTGGTGTATTGTTTTTATCTGTGTGCATAGTGTCTAGGGAGTGAGTCCATGCTGTTGTGTGTCTATATTCACGTAGTAACTGTGGCAGTCATGTGTGCTCCTGGGTGCAGCTAACATCTGGGGGAGGGATCCTGAGGATGTCTCCTTATCTCCGTTTGGGTGTGCCCGCACCTGTGATATCTGAATGTGGGTTTCGCACGTGTGCATCTGTAAACATGTGCATTCAGTACTTGTGAGCATGTTTCTGCTCTGGGCACCTGTGTGTGGGTCAGTGCTATTGCCTGTGCGCCTGGTCTGGAAGAGCCCCTTAGTTCGGTGCAGGGCCTCGTGACAGTCCCCATGCGGCTGCCGCGTAGGGCCGGGAAGGGCGCGTGGCAGGTCGGCGGGCGGCGCCCCGCTCCTCCCCGGGGGCCGGGCACACGT